CCAACGTGGTGGTGTCCCAATCTTTGTTTCTCCTCTCTTTCTCGTGTCTGCACATGTCTGTGTGTGGGGGTGTGGATTGGACTGATTGCTAGCCTGCTGCGTGTGGGGGGTGGGGGGGGGGGATGGATCTGGGGAAATTTTTCTCTGGGAGTGGGTCTCACCGTGTCCTTCGTGAGGACCGTAAACATAAAGTGCGGACTGCGGAGGAGGTAAAGCATGACTCCAATGTTTATCCAAGTCAACAAACAAACTGTAGCACTTGCAAATTTCAAAAACCGTGAAAATAATTAGTGAAGTAGGAAAACAGATTGCATACCTTTAGTTCATTGCTTGCTGCAACTAAGATCGACTGAAAAGGGGATGCATCAGCTGCAAACAGGAGACTATGTGTTCCCGTCAGTTCTGAAAAAAAATTCACCCAAGCCAGTTCTGAATCAAGAAGGGTGTGTTCCTGTCAAAATTAAATGTAGCACTTGCAAATTCCAAAAATCATGAAATAAGAAAACAAATTGCACACATTTAGTTCATAGTTAGTTTTACACAAGTCCGGGAGCATGGGTACAAACATGCATGAAACAAGCATCAAATCGAATGGACGGATTGCACATGGTATTTAGTATTTTACAAATTTAAGCTTTTTTTAGAAAAGGAGGAAGATCCCCGTCCTCTGCATCTGGCCGATGCATACATCCACTTTATTATTAATTATTCTTAAAAGACCTTACAAAAAAATACAGCAGTAAGTCTGAAGCCACCGTCTAGACAGCATCTGTTGCTACTCCTATTCATTTGATGAAGGGATGCTGATAGTCTGGGCCTAATACCAAACAGACCTCGCAGTCAAACCTAACATCTAAGACCTGAATTCCCATCCAGGACACCTGTCGGGTATGGGTCACCCACCGGTCCGGCGCACTCCTCAACCAGGACGCCTGCCGGGTATGAGGCCGCCGCAGCCACCTGCGACCAATCCATCTTCAGAGATGTACTGATGCATCTACCTTGCCCGGTCTAGCTGCTGTCGATGCCACCACGACGCCAGACAACGCCACCATCCTGCGCTCGTCCATCAACACACGCCCAGCAGCGAGACCCCGCTGCTCCATGCCGCTGAGACCCGCCATTGTCGACGTGTCAGATGCAACGCCGCTCCTCCTTCGCGAACACCACCTTGTACCACTGGTCCTATCCCCTCCACCTGTAGATCCTCTGCACTCCCAACCGAGCCCCAGTGCCCCTGACGACACCTCCAGGAAGGTCACGATGCAAAAAGCGCCGCTGCCGCCAGATCCGAAAAGGATTGAAGGTTTTCACCCGGCCGGGGATCTGGGTGGGTAGATTGGGCCCTCAGCTGCGCCTTCATGAAGGAAAGCGGCGCCCATGGGCGTCGCCGCCGCCGGGCCGGCTAGACTGGCCAAGGTTTCCCCCGGACCCAAAGTACACCACCAGGGCTCACCACCACCGGAGCATGCAGCCGCAAACCACCGGGACGACGACAGAGGCAGCAGGAGAAAGGGGAACCTCCAAATCAGACGCAACGGAGAACCGCGCCATGGCCGGGTTCCACCAGCGACCCGCCACCCGTGCGGCCGAGTACGCTGGCCAGCGTCGCCTGCAGACGTCTCCAGCCGCCGCCGCCTCGCCAATAGGGCCGCCGCCCAAGGATCCGCAGGCCACCGATGCGATACTCCGGCCCGCAGGCCGACGAGATCGATCCGGGCGCCGAGATCCCCGCCGCCACCTTCCCCGGCGTCCACGCCGGGCTTTGCCGGCGGCCATCTCCGGCGGCGGCGAGGGACAGAAGGGGGATGAGGGGAGGCGGGCGGCGAAAGATGGGATCGCCCCCGAGTCGCCAGGGTTGCAGGAAAGATTTGACACCTTCTTCCAGTTCCAATCTTTCCCAGGTCTTACTAAAAATCTTTAGTACCTTCAGTTTTCGTGGCAAGCTGTCCGTCTTGAAAGGAAGCCTGAAGAATTCTCTATAATCACGAAGCTCCAGTCGCTCTAGGGATGGGAATATCACATCAGGATCCCCAATACTGACGAGTGATTTGCACCCCCAAAATCTCAGATATTTGAGGCAGGAAAATGTTTTCAAACTATCTTGTTCGCTGCACTTGTTATCACCATGGGGCTTCATAAATGCTTGTTGCATCCCATTACAGCCACCTATCACGAGTTGTTCGAGGCAAGGCAGATACATGGCCCAGGAGAGGTGGTTTAGCTTTCCGCAGGATTGCACCTTCAAACAAGCTAGCCTGGGAAATAGAGATGCTGGAGATGTTTCCATCCAAGTTATCTCTTTCAAGTCGTCCAAATGTACCAAACTGAGCTGATTGAGAATACGAAAGCAACAATATGGTTGTGCCAACTCGCGTCCAAATATTATTTCCTCCATGGCGCACATGTCAATTCGCAGTTCATACAAGGTCCTTGGTGCAAACTCATGTGATAGAATTTTAGAGAAGTAGAGGGCACGTGTCTCAAGTCTTCGTAGATTTAAATATCTGACGGGGAGATTGTCGCTTCCCCTTAGTGATATATACTGAGGAAAACCCATGGCAATGATACCAACTGCTTTCAAGTGGCGTAGGGTGCCCAACTCTCGAAGGATTCTACGAAGAAGGCCCACACCAACTGGACATAAATGATAGGTTCTGAAGTCCATTACTTGTAATGCTTGAAGGCTAGATATGACACCCTCCGGTATCCTTATAATGCCAGTTGATTCTAGGTACAAGAACTTGAGCTTAATTAGGTTTCCAAAGCAGAGAGGCACTTCATTTATACCATCATTATCCGGCAAATCCAGGTACTCCAAATTTGCCAAGGAACATAATTCTTCAGGTATTCCCTTCAGGTCGTTCGAGTGCAAATCTAGATATGTCAGTGACGTGAATTTCTTAATTACTTCAATTATTATGCTTTCACGCAACATGTTGTTTCCAAGGCATAACATCCTCATATGACGAGGGTTAGAGCCAACATGAGTAAGTTTCGACAAACGGTTCTTCATCAGTGAGACACATTCAACTTGCCTCCAAGGGATGCTGAAATTTTCGTTCGGACCAACTGCTGCGCGGACATACCATTTGCCATTGTTCTTCCCGCAGCCGCAAGAGATCCATAAAGCCATGTCACAAACCACATCATGCATTATAACAGAATCATATAGTTCTCCACAACCATCTAATAAACATG